CTGCCGCGCTCATTACGAGAATATGTACTAAGTACCTCGTGGATATGCCCCATTTGAGACTCCATTCGGGCTTAGATACCCACCATCACAATGCCTACGCCCGGGATTAATGGAAGCTATTTTCTTTTCTTTTATGGTCACGTCTGAGAGAGGAAACTATTAATGGATCGCCCATTCGATTCGAGAGCCACATAATAGACTTCAGAGAGAACATCGAAAATCCAATTTAATTGCCGTCAAGTCACGAAGTTTTCAGGGTGCTGTGAGAATGTTAATATTTTCTTTGTTGCCTACAGGTTACGTAATTATGCCGAAACTCATTCTCATTCCAGAAATAAATTCAACAACCCGCCGGGCTGATTTAACATAAAAGGTGGAAAGACCTTAACCAAGACTTTATCGGCAAACACATAAATCCGTACATTTGTTTTTAGGTTTACTTTCCTTGTTTCAGTTCGTATCGAGGTGCAAAGCTTTCGAATGCTTACACGTCGAAAGAACAAAACTATGCAATCGTAAAAATTCTCATTTCCCGCTTTTTCACGGGAATTAGTTTTTGTTATTGCACGTACTTACTTAGTATTTTACTCACATTCGCACCACATTTTCTGACGGAAAATGGCGGTTTTCGTGTTATAGTAGGCCCTGCAAATATTTTTCCTTTTGCTAGCTTATTATTAGGGTAAGAGCGGTCGACGATTGTGAAGAATTGCTGCCATGGAACAATCTCCCAAGGGCAATTTACTTTTTTAGATAGGTATTATTACTTGTTTTAGATAGGTTTAATAATTATCCTGCTTTCGCCTCCGAGATTTATTTTACCATGTAGTACCCCTGTACGACAAGCCAATCCGCACACAATATTCAGCGCAGTAGTAGTAAAAAACAAAAGAGCGGGCAACCCCACCCCTACCACGCTGTGGGCTCGGTGTCCGAGCGGTCTCATTCCTTTGTGCGCACGCNACTTCACTTGGTAAGTTCGTTTGATCATTCAATTGTTTTTAGATTTGTGACTCTATCACAGACCTGTACGTATAAGATGGCAGATAATGTCATGAGTCAATTAAGACGTAACATATTCTGTACAATTTCGAGTTGATCTTAATGATCCATCTAAGAAATGACGTCACCCTTTTGGCAAAACAAGATCTAGAGACTCGAAGTTTGAATGAAGTAATTTGTACAATGGATATAACCAATGTCAATGAATAAAGTAATTTGTACAATGGATATAACCAATGTCAACGAAGATGCACGCAAACAGTTTTATTTAGCACATTTGCACAAATTGACCATACAGGCGGGTAATACCGTTTCCGAATAGTAAAAGGTGCATCAGCTTTGGACAAATATCTCTAAAGCATTCGAAGATACGAATAAGCTTTCTATTACGATTAGACTTGGTAATTGTTAGTCAGGAATAATTTATCATCGCATTTCATGTTAGAATATTTTGATCGAAAATATTGCAGACAGTTGCAGCTTTCGAATGTGCCACGCAAAGAGCTCTACAACTAAAAGCCACCTCAATGTAAAGCGAGGCGAGTGCTCTCAGTGTAGGTAGACGTCACAAAACGATTGGCGAGGTATCGAGCGACCGGACGATAGCGCTTATCGCCATAATCTGATTAATTGGTGAGTCATAGTGTCGCGAGAACGACCGCCAACTATCGAACCGATACTCTCCGGCCGTGAACTTCGCTTGCGATTTGTACCTGATTATGGTACATACGCCAAAAAGTGTGTTGACATCATAGATTTGGCTGTAGAAACGTAGCGTGCAAAGCAAAATGTTGTACATGTTGCCTTTAAAACTAAAATACACCCAAGCGCACGCTACAATTCGATATTTTAGAAGACCTGACTTATTTCCTGAAGTTCAAAATTGAGACAAAGTTACTTTTTGTTTATCCAATAACTTGCTTGCTGTTCCGTCAATTGGCTTCATTTACCCAACAACTTGAAACTTTATCGGGCTGTTTATACAAACAGCAGGTGGATTTTATGTGAGTCATTTTCTGTGATTAATCAATCATTCTAACACTCAGAATACAGAACAAACCAGAAACCGTCAACGGGCGTAAATGTGTATTCATATAAATTACTCCANTGAAGAAGAAGCCTGTTGACCTAATCTTTATTGGTCAAGATGCGGCTCAATTTTCGTGTGTAATTGCGTCTAAATGATTTAATGTGTTTGTTCTTCAGACAACTCCCCGATTGCCAATAAAGCGTGATCTATAACATTAGTACCATGGACTAGTACTTTGTGAACGGAAGCTGGTATATTATACCAAGGATACTTGACAACTAATTGTCGAGCTGTCTCTAAAGCGAACTCTTCGAATTTCGTCTTATTAATGTTATATCTTGAATTTAGACACTGAAGTATGTCCAGCACCAATCTAGTAGACTTTTCTTGATACCAGTAATTTCAGAGTTCAAGAAAAACCGCCTAGCGTCATCGTGATGAGATAAACGAAAATCAGTTAGCTCAACATCAATATTTTCGACATTATTCAACCAATTAGAGTGCTTTTCTATTAATTTATATTTAGTTCGAATTGCTTTTGCCCATAAAACCTAAATTCGTGTACATACATAGTTAATTTTACCACTTAAAGTCTCTAAATCAATATTTTCAACGTTATCCGCTAGGCACGAAGTTTCGATCAAATTGTTAAGAATATGATCATTTTTTCCTTTGAACTACCCTATATAGAGTGCCAAAGGTCAATATCATCATCCTTGAAACGAAACATTTGAAAATTTTACCTAAAACAACATAAAAGTAATATTTAATTTTTTTTTAATTTTTAATACTACCGAAAATTATACTTTGATACCCTATAACTTAAAAAGAGGCAAAAAGCGGCAGATGAAACGTATATGCCCTTATTAGGGACAGTCTCTTCTATTTATAAAATAATAATTCATGGCATTACAAGGCATTTCAAAAGTTATAAGTCTAATTGAAATAGAAGTTAAGGATTTTTTTTTTTCGAAAAAAGTGGGTCTCTAAATAAATTCAATAAAAATAAACCGAGCATTATAAAAAATAAAAATGGTTGATAATAAAAGTACATAGCCTTGTTCTTGAACCTCCATATGATCAACACACTTAAACATTCGATTTGGCACAGTAACACTAAATAACATAGTGATTAACTTTCGACGACTCACATCTCGCGGTAAATAGACTCGAGATGCCCTCACTTCCGATGCACAAAAGTGAATGTAACCTTGACCTTATTTCATTACTATTTATAGTTTTTGATAGCTTGGTTACTAGTTAATAACCTAGGGACATCATCGGACCGGGATTAGACAGTGACATTTTTGGATTTTTGGCCTATGGGTGAATCACCGTGCAGCGGTTTGTTTGAAATTGTTTGTCAGTGCCATCGGAATTTAACGAAATTCTCCATTATCCGAATTTTGCGGATATATGTTGTCGACTCAAAATCGATATTTTTTTATGCTTTGTTATTCATATAAGGTTTCGATCCAGTCTACCGTACCCCTTGACGAAATTATTAATATAGATTTCTAGAGTTGTAGTTCTTCTAGAGTTGTCATTATGTGAAGTTGACCAAATGCGAATTTGTCATTGTGAGAAATAGACATTATGAGAAGTTGTCTTTTAGCGAAGTTGACATTTTAAGAAGTTGTCATTTCGAGAAGTGGACTTTTTGCGCCCCGGTTGTCATTTTGAGAAGTTGTCATTCCGAGCTGAAAGAGCCCGGTCTGTGAGCACGTAGAATTTCGTCCAATGACCCCAAGCTACCCATCCTTATCGCTCGCGCGTAATGAGGCTATCGTTTTTATACTTAACAGTTGGCACCCCTGGCGATTGACAGGACCTTACTCTACAGTGGCGCCATCTTGATGAGTGCAAATGCGATAGTCCTCCTACCACTTTAGCGCTCACCAGTTGGTACCACTGTCTTCGCTACTAGCAAGTGACAGGACCTTACTCTACAAAACGATAGCCCTCATTATGTTGCTATCGCGCTCGCACACTCACTGCGGGCGCCCGTCGCACAGTCGCGACAGCAATAAAATTACGCGCGAGCGATAAGGATGGGTAGCTTGGGGTCATTGGACAAAATTCTACGTCTCACGGACCGGGCTTAGAAGACAAACATTTATTTTGGTCCCATCATCATCTCAGCCATAGGACGTCCACTGCTGAACATAGGCCTCCCCCAATGCTTTCCATGTTGCCCTGTTGGTAGCGGCCTGCGTCCAGCGCCTTCCTACCTTTATGATGTCGTCGGTCCACCTTGTGGGTGGACGTCCCACGCTGCGTTTTCCGGTACCCGGCCTCCATTCCAGAACCTTGTTGCCCCATCGGCCGTCAGTTTGGTTCCAACAAAAATATAACACACAGATAATAAAAGTAAGTACAAGTAATTAGAACCAACTAGCGAGCAACAACCCCCCTAGACAAGTAGCACTTTTTGATCGAATCGAAAATCGAATCCGTCATAACTCCATACAAAAAAAGGCTTTTCGACTGGTTTGCGGTTATAATGTGCACTTTTTCTAAACCCTCTGTATACACACGAAACTGGCGGCTAATAGGCTGCGCGTACCCGACACTGTAACTGTTTTTCTATCGATAGTTTTGCAACTCCAAACACTCCAGAACAAACACTCGTAGTAGTGTGCTCAACCCAGCCCACCCAAGTCATTTCATAACCATAAGCAGTTGTAGCATTTTTATTTTTCAAATTATGTACCTACTTACAAATAATATCGTTTATTCAAACAAGAAATCCATAAATTACCAAGTTCAATTTTATTCAGTTCAAAGTCTAGTATAGTCATTGTTAAGGTGTCGAATTTGTTTCTCATTAACTTTTCAACACGCCCATCTTTAGTTTGCATATTTTTGAATATACAAATATCATAATTAGTAAACAGTATTTGCGCAAATGTGTATCTATGTACATAAGTTGACTCGTAAAGAAGATTGTTGTGTTGGTTGTCTGCAGACTTTGAGCTGATCGAAAGCAAGAATCAGCCCCACCAATGGGGCAAAGGGACCGACCTGCCCATCTACCCTACCACACCGATGGAAATCCTGCTACTGGCGATCCTGTGTACTATAAGCGTCGCCGTCATAGCTTACATGATGGTCGTGCTTTACAGGTATGATGCACTTCAAGAGATTATCGAAAAAACTTCACTTACTTATTTACAGTTTAATTGTATTTTTGCAGTTTAAGTTACTCGTAAATTAGGTATTGAAGCATATTTTATTGACAACATACTGTTTAATGATGACTAGAGAAACTATATGACTTATTAGCCGCCGCCCGCGACTTCGTACGTGTGGATCCCGTTTTGCCCCCTTAGGGGTGGAGTTTCGTAAAATCCGTTCTTAGTGAGCACCTACGTTTTAAAAGAAACCCCCATGCAACATTTTAGACTCCTAGCACTTGTAGTTTCTGAGATTTCGTAATGACTGAGTCAGTCAATAAGTGAGTGACCTTTCGCTTTTATAGATATCTAACTTTAAATAACTCAAATGTGACTGACTGACTGACATAGTGATCTATCAACGCACAGCCAAAACCACTGGACGGATCGGGCTGAAATTTGGCATGCAGGTAGATGTTATGACGTAGGCATTCGCTAAGAAAGGATTTTGTGAAACTCCACCTCTAAGGGGATAAAACGCGTACGAAGTCGCGGACGGCCGCTAGTATATGAATAAATCTGTTATGATACATACGTACATGTTCCATCTGTTTAGATGCGTGTGCTCCCGGCATTACGCGGAATGGCGGGCGTCGTGGAACGAAGACGACGAGAACAGGAAGATTCTCGCCAAACAACCGGCTGTCCAGGTGAGGCATATCGAAAGTTCTTAAAGTTGTTAACCTGTGTGGTAAAAGATGTGACTTTTACCACCCAGGCCCGTTTCCTCCAAGGCAGAGCGGAGCGGAGTGGAGAAATGTCTTGAATAACCAGTCAGATTACATACATTGTCAATTTCATTAAATCTGAATGACATCTGAATGGTTGATCAAAATATTTCTCCGCCTTGGTGAAAACCGGGCCTCAAAGTTAACTAACGTCACTAACGAGTTACGAGTTGTAGACGCTTTTATATTTTAAACAGCAAAGAATTTTGGAATACTTGAGTATTTGAGAATTTTTCAAAAGGATGCAATTTAATAAGCGTAGTTATAGGTTTCAATGAGGATCATTTCGATTTTTAGCTGTGAATGCAGATTTATAGGGCTAAGAAATCCTTAAAACACAGTCCAAAAATTTTTGTTCTACGACAAAAATTGACGAAGTTATGGCCAAATTACTAAAAAAGTTCACTGACCGCCTGGCGCGGGGACGATGACGTCACTATATCCGATCCGAACGCTGCCGGCGTACTGCGTGGATAGAAAATATTTTTTTCTAGCCAAACTATCAGTTTTAGAGAAAAACTTGTTATGACATTTATTCATCAGAATAAAGTAAGCTATCGATAGGTAATTTTAAAAAATAGAAATTGTGAAAAATAACGCAAAAAATCCATACGCTCATACGATTCAATGGAACGCAGAGACGCGATTGGGGTCTCCGCGGTGGTATATTTGGCGAGTTATTCAAATAAAGTGTTCATAAGTGTTGTTAGAGTCATATCTTCTTCCAAGTAAAATGTAGAAATGTATAAGTATTAATTTATTTACTTCTAACAATAAGGTATAGCTGAGGCAGATACACTCTGCCTAGGCTACAAGACATTGCTATGAAGATCATTTCGATGTAGGTACACGCAATACCTACCTGTTATTTAGTTTTTCTGAGTTAAACCTACGTACCTACCTATCTATTCGCCGTTCCCATGGGCGGGAAAGGACAGCTGCTCCCTCCTGGAAATCAATTTAATCTTAGCCTAGAAGCTGGGTATGACTCCCCCGCCCCCCTCCTCTCCCCAGGTCATAAGCTGGGCATGCCCCCCAGGCCAGAAGCTGGGTAAGGCTAGCTCCTTCCCCCAGTCCATAAGCATAAGCTAGGTATGACTCCCCCTCGGCCAGAAACTGGGTATGACTTGCCTCTCCCCCCCTCCCACCAAGGCCAGAAGCTGGGTAAGGCTTCCAGAAACTGGGTATTAGCATCATATTATGTATTATTATGTTCAATACAAACAATCATTAAGTTACACTCACCCCAACCGCGTCTCCGCATTGCATCGAACCATATGAAAATGTGGTTTTTGGACATAGCGATACTTATTTTTCACAAATTTTATTTTTAAAAATTACTGGTCGATAGGTTACTTTATTTTGATGAATAAATGTTATTAAAAGTTTTTTTCTAAAACTGATAGTTTAGCTGGAAAAAAATATTTTCCATCCCAATAGTACGCCGGCTGCGCTCGATTCGGATATAATGACGTCACGCGGCCCTGCGTACGTTGACTTTTAGCGGCAAAAACGGCCTATGTTTATTACTTAATATCTTCGTCAGTTATGGTCCGATTTGGATAATTCAAAAAGATATATCTTTCTTATGTCTTAAAGATTAACGTAGATACTAGTTTTATTGAATTTTCTACAACAGTACTGATCCTCATTAAACATTGTGTCCCTTAAAGAGTAGCATCTATTGCAAGTACAAACATTCTCAATATTTAGCTTGAAGTGTTGATATTCCCTGAATGTAAGCCTTCATGACTTGACGTGTCCCTCTTAATAATACACTCGCTGGATATTTCCAGAGACTATTATTCCACTAACAATGTCGTTGTAAGGACTGCACACAACAAACCCGGCGGCTTTATTTCAAAATAAGCATATCAACGACACGCGTCGTTTAATGAAACGAAAACGTTCACATTTGAAGACTGCTCTTGCCTACTACCATAGAGATATAGAGAGATGCCAACTAATGCGCGGAGTTCGAAACTCAGTGTCGCATTAGAAATTCACACACACAAAGTAATCAAAATATGTGCTCATTATCCACTGCGGTATTCTGCGGTATACTCAACCTTCGAATAATAGTACTACGCAAGCAGCGACGTCATAATGTAAACAGTTTACATAACTGGTTACATTATGACGTTGCTGCTGTCATCATTGCTGTCACGTGCAATGTGTTCTGTTTTTGGGCATATTGCTGCAACACCGGCCCCGCTCCCTTGTCACATCTCCATTTAGTTTCTGTGATCTGTACCAGGGATGTTATGGATATCCGTAACCGTAACCGAAACTTTCGGATATCCGAAATAAAAAAATATCCGAAATCGTAACCGTAACCGATTCAAAAGTTTCGGATAGTTTCGGATGTAGGCAGTTTAAATTATTTTTTGTATAGCATTATATTATGTAAAGGCATAACAGCCTGATAAATTTACCTTTATAATGCCATCTAGTATAAATTTTTATTTTTTTGTTATTTTTATTTGATGTAGTGTGCGGCCATGAATGAACCGTGTTGGACAACTATTGCAAATTGCATTCTAAAGCACAGATATCCGTAACCGAAACTTTCGGATATATATCCCAAATAAAAAAATATCCGTGACCGTAACCGGTATAATATTATTCCTATATCCGTAACCGTATCCATAACCAAAACTACATACACTATAACTATATCCATAACATCCCTAATAATGTACCTACTACATATCTCAAATTGTTATTCCCTCCAGTTGGTAATGGAGGCGGTGCCGCTAGTGGTGGCCGGCCACGTGCAGGAGGTGGAATGCCTGGTGACGGACGGCGAGAAGGTGGTCAGCTCCTGCCTGCAAGGCAACATCAAGGTGTGGGACTCGCAGAACGGGGAGATCGCCACCAACATCGACAGATGCGCGTGAGTGGTTCGTTACAAACAAACGGACTAAGTACTAACATCTTTCGTCCTCGATTCGGTAACCCAAAAATCCTGGGGGGCACCATTATGCCCGTTTTCACCATCAATCCCTAATTTTTAAGTGACCCCTATGTAAACAAAATTCCTGTTATTTGTTACCATAGGGGTCACTTAAAAATTAGGGAAAACGGGCATTAGCCCCTCGCTATATGTATACCCAACTTGGTGGACTTATGAGGAGAGTGGGTCGGGTCTCGGGTACCAAACTACCAACCCATGCTACGCCGCCACTGGTCCACTGCTGGACAAGCCACCCCTTGAGGGTCCTTGAGATTTCCTTGACAACCGGTTCATTTCGTCGAACACTGCCTTATCTTTACTCTGCTTTAGTTTCTATTTTATTAGTGAACTAGCGGCAGCCCGCGACTTCGTACGCATGGATCCCGTTTTACCCCTAAAGGGTTGAATTTTGCAAAATCCTGTCTTAGTGAGCACCACGTTCTAAAAGGAACCCTCATGCAAAATGACTTCTAGCACTTATAGTTTCTGAGATTCGTTATGAGTGGGTCAGTCAATGACCTTTCGCTTTTATTGTATAGATTATTTCTACTAGATGATTCTGCTGCTCAAATTAAACAATATGACAATAATTGACTTTTATTTCAGATTTTTCAAACTGCAAAATGAACTTTGTGGCAAAATCCAATCTAAGAAGACCAACTATCCCGAAGCTATAGAAGGTAATATTAATTTTATCATGTCACGCACATAACACATGCAATGTTTACGTTACAGGAACATACATTATAATCTTGTATTTCTTTCCAGTTGTGCCAACTGCAGACGCTAATCGTGATCAAAATGAGGTATGTTAAATACACTATATTTAAACGTAGTTTTTTCTATTTCTAAATGTATTTCCGGTGCTGTTCAAACACAGCTACAAATAATAATGTAAGGACTTCCTCTTACATATTTAATTTCATTGTTAAAGAAGTGTTGAAATTGTTTGTGCTCGCATTTGTCATAATCGTAATAACCGAGAAAATAAGTGTTTATTTTACGAGTAAAGCGCAAACAGGTATAGTTGTTGCAATTCACGAAGGCGAGTGAGCTTCACATGCGTGGCGTGGCTCGCTACTGAGGGTTTAGTGTGAGTTTACATTAAAAGTCGTGTGAGCGCGTAATTTTTTTTATTTTTAGGTACTTAAACTCACCACACCCCAACCGTCACGTTGACGTGTTATGCGCGTTCTTTCGTCCTTAGGCTATAGCTGAAAATCAGTGGTTTGCTTTTAAGTAAACCAATTACTGAGCTATAGCCGCTTTGCATTGCTGCGACACACATTTCTGTATAAAGTGTGTACCTTTATTGTATATGTCATAATGATTTTTTTTCTTTTTATTTCTGTCTTACCATACCATGTCATATTGTCCTGAGGGTACTATTTTGTCCTACTTTTGGTACTTTCTGTTTGTAATGTGTGTTTCTGTTATGCAAATAAACGTTTTATCTATCTATCTATCTATCTAAAATTTTCATAATATTTATTTAACGCGCTCCCTAGTGAGGTCGTTTGATGTAAACTCCACACTAAGCCCTCTGTTCGTTTTTCGAAAGTTTTGGCAGACATTACACTATCGTTATGTGCATGTACACGTACGCAAACAAGTAAAGCTTACTCACTTTCGTGAGTTGCAAGGACTTTAACATAGTTAATGTGATTTTGATATTGCAGGGCATGCCACGGCTCCGCAAAGGTCTGAGCACGCATCTGAGCGGGCTACGGTTTCGGCCGGTGGCGCGCGACTCGCCGCCGAACCTGTCTGTGGCGGAAACCACCAAATATGACTTCGCCAAAAATTACAGGTCACTTTCATTCACCTCGATAGATGTGTTGACACCACCAATAAATTGACGTACTTTTAAAACTATCAAAACGATACTCTCCCAAAGACTATTCTTTTAAAAAAATGTGATTTCGAATTATTGGGGAATGGTGTCAAATTGTAAAAATATAACCTTTTTGTAAAAATTTTTAACTGTCGTAGTTAGGTAACAAATGCATGCATATTATAATATATCCATCTTGGTTCCAGAGATCTTTACTGCAGCGACCAACACGACGATTTGTATAGTAGCTACGAATCCAAAGAAAACGTGGACACAAGCAATATAAATATTATTCATCGTGACTCATTAAATAGTGCAGTGAAAGACAGTGAAATGTGCGACGAGAACATTTACATTACGCAGACGAACGATAGTGTCGTGCCTAGTTTACGGAATAGGAATAAGAGTAGGTTAGTGTGTAATAGTGGTGCTGAAAACGTTAGGACAGAGTGTGAAGTGACGAACACGGAGGCTGTGACAAACTCAAATCCAAAGGGGACGCCTATAACAGAATCTCCAGTATGGTGCATGGACTTTTGCAATGATTTAATTATATTAGGGTGTGCAGACGGCAGAATCGAGTTTTGGGAGGCGAGCTCTGGGAAATTCATGGTAAGTTATTAATTGATGACTCTACCTATAATTTCGCAAATTAGTGAAGCGACAAACTGGAATGGACTGTCGTTTGCGGTGTTTCCGGAATCCGGACCGATACGACCTGCAAGCTTTCCAGAAGAGAGCGTATCTTCACCTTATAGGCCGGCAACCCACCTGTAACGCCCCTGCGACTACGGGTGTCTATGGGCGACGGTAATCACTTACCATCAGGTGATCCGTCTGCTCGTTTGCCTCCTGTCACATAGAAAAACTGTAATACAAAACATACTCCATAATAAATAAAGTCGTCGAAGTGTCTGTCAGGAATTATTTTTCTTACACACAAAGTCGTATCATTTTAAACTTACGAAGTTATCTTTCGACACTGTTGGTACTTAGGCGAACAATGTATGTACGAATCCGTTCATTGTGGAAAACCTTGGGGGAGGCCTTTGTCCAGCAGTGGACGTCATTTGGCTGAAACGAACGAACGAACGTATGTACAAATAACATTGTATGATATTAACGTTTTACTTTCCTACCAAGAAGCTTAAAATTTCACTGCAATATTTGTAGGACTATTATTAAACCTGATATGAATCATATGATAATGTTTTTGTTTTCAGTGCGTGTATTGGGGCGCGGCACGGCAGGCGGGCGTGACGCACGTACGGGCGCTAGCGGGCGCGCGGCGCGTGGTGGCGGCGTCGCTGGCGGGCTCGCTGACGCTGCTGCGGCTCGACGCCTACAACGCGGCCTCGGGCGCGCACGTCGACTGGCGCTTCAGCACCGCGCACCGCCGCAGTGAGCCACTTGTAGCTCTGTAGGGACACGCGAGCGGCTCGCTGGCGGGCGCGCTGACGCTGCTGCGGCTCGACGCCTACAACGCGGCCTCGGGCGCGCACGTCGACTGGCGCTTCAGCACCGCGCACCGCCGCAGTGAGCCACTTGTAGCTCTGTAGGGACACGCGAGCGGCTCGCTGGCGGGCGCGCTGACGCTGCTGCGGCTCGACGCCTACAACGCGGCCTCGGGCGCGCACGTCGACTGGCGCTTCAGCACCGCGCACCGCCGCAGTGAGCCACTTGTAGCTCTGTAGGGACACGCGAGCGGCTCGCTGGCGGGCGCGCTGACGCTGCTGCGGCTCGACGCCTACAACGCGGCCTCGGGCGCGCACGTCGACTGGCGCTTCAGCACCGCGCACCGCCGCAGTGAGCCACTTGTAGCTCTGTAGGGACACGCGAGCGGCTCGCTGGCGGGCGCGCTGACGCTGCTGCGGCTCGACGCCTACAACGCGGCCTCGGGCGCGCACGTCGACTGGCGCTTCAGCACCGCGCACCGCCGCAGTGAGCCACTTGTAGCTCTGTAGGGACACGCGAGCGGCTCGCTGGCGGGCGCGCTGACGCTGCTGCGGCTCGACGCCTACAACGCGGCCTCGGGCGCGCACGTCGACTGGCGCTTCAGCACCGCGCACCGCCGCAGTGAGCCACTTGTAGCTCTGTAGGGACACGCGAGCGGCTCGCTGGCGGGCGCGCTGACGCTGCTGCGGCTCGACGCCTACAACGCGGCCTCGGGCGCGCACGTCGACTGGCGCTTCAGCACCGCGCACCGCCGCAGTGAGCCACTTGTAGCTCTGTAGGGACACGCGAGCGGCTCGCTGGCGGGCGCGCTGACGCTGCTGCGGCTCGACGCCTACAACGCGGCCTCGGGCGCGCACGTCGACTGGCGCTTCAGCACCGCGCACCGCCGCAGTGAGCCACTTGTAGCTCTGTAGGGACACGCGAGCGGCTCGCTGGCGGGCGCGCTGACGCTGCTGCGGCTCGACGCCTACAACGCGGCCTCGGGCGCGCACGTCGACTGGCGCTTCAGCACCGCGCACCGCCGCAGTGAGCCACTTGTAGCTCTGTAGGGACACGCGAGCGGCTCGCTGGCGGGCGCGCTGACGCTGCTGCGGCTCGACGCCTACAACGCGGCCTCGGGCGCGCACGTCGACTGGCGCTTCAGCACCGCGCACCGCCGCAGTGAGCCACTTGTAGCTCTGTAGGGACTTGTAGTCTGTCAGAAACTGCGCAACCGTTGACAGTTTTGCATCTTTTGTCGTATACAAGCCTCCAATAAATATTTTATTTTCATATAATCAATATTATGAAATCAGCCATTCCCTGCGCTCCGAGTCCCCTTCGGCCTGATGTTGCCCAGTATCACTTGGAAACGTTGCCGAACGAGGCGAAGCGAGTATGCGGTGATACTAAAACATGACACCTTATGGTGACGCGCACGAAACAGGCGGCGGAGCGGGGCCATCGCTATACTATTCCTCATCGCCTCGCCCCGCCTATCGCTCGACCGTCGCCTGTTTCGTGCCCGTAGACTAAGTTAGGTAGCGGTCGCAATCTCCTTTCTCGATCACTGGTTGTATCAACCGCGGCGTAATCCATCGCCTAATGCGACACACGCCATCTTATTTATTTAATTTGATGGTCAATTACGAAGACATCCTACTAATTTCTCTAGCTAATCTCTAAGCTAATGTTTATGTGGACAATTTTATGCAGCTTACTATTTTATTTATTTTACCAATGGTCCGTGACCCTCACTCGGCATGGGACGCACTGAAAACCAGCGCCGTGGCCTTCGTCACAGTGGGCCACGGCATATACTGAGTGGGGTCCCGTTGCAGTGGGCATCTTGTAGGTGAATGGGTGGCACTGCTCAGTTTACTCTCGTTTCTATTTTTTTTTCTTCCATTATTATGTGCCCCTGTCATGTCTATGTAATTGCCTGTATTTGTGTGATGTCCATTGTAATAAATGTATCTTTCTTTCTAATCTTAATACATATTGTGTTGTTCCTTTAGCGCACAAACGCACGGGCTCGGCGGGTTCGCTGCGCGCGTGCGCTGAGGAGCAAGCGCCCGCGCGCATGAGCTTCGCCTACGGCGCCGACATCTCCGACGGAGAAGGTAATGTTTAGATAAAAACTAAACTCCGATTAACATTCTTAGGCAGGGTACTCACCTGCTATGTAGCACGTAACGTTGCATGTAACGTGTCCAACCTTGAAGTGAGTACGGCTCGTCCACGGTCATCGCGTATCTGGCTGCGAGCTCCTGAATCCTACTGCGAGCCGCCTTTGTGCTCGCAGTGATACCGCCCATAGTAACTTGTATGGGGCTGTGTGTCGTTCTAACATGACCAATGACGTTCTGAGATATCTTAGGGACCCTTTGAAATTATTGTTAAATAAAAGCACTGTTTGATTGAAATGTGAGAACATAAAAAGGCTTGCATATTCCCTACTAGCTTTCCGCCCGCGGCTTCGCCCGCGTGGAATTTTGTCTGTCACAGAAAAACTTTATCGCGCGCGTCCTTGTTTCAAAAACCGGGATAAAAACTATCCTACGTCCTTTCCCGGGACTCAAACTATCTCTATGCCAAATGGCAATGCCAGATTTTGTATGGAAGGCGGCGTCTTTTTTTTTCGCGCGGCCATCGACCAAACTTTGGTTTTTGATTACAAAATAGTGTAATAAACCAAACTTACTATGTCATGTATACCTCTAAACTCAGTCTGAACTGAGTTACGAGCATTAGAAGTTTGATGATTTTACATACTAGAAATAGCAAAAAAATATTGCGCTATTTTTTAATTGCGCAGATTCTGCTCCATACTGATGTCTGGAGCCTTTAATGGATGGTATTGTTTGTTTACACATACAATGTCACTATTTTGTTGCAATTTCTTACAAAACTTGCGCGCAAAAGGCAAACTTAATAATATGTAAAATCATCAAACTTTTAACACTCGTAACTCAGTTCAGACTAAGTTTAGAGGTATAACATGTCATAGTAAGTTTGGTTTATTACACTATTTTGTAACTAAAAAACAAGGTTTGGTCGATGGCCGCGCGAAAAAAATGACGCCAATTTCCGGTAGTCTTTTCATCAAAATCAGTTCAGTGGTTTAGTCGTGAAAGCGGGACAGACAGACAGACAGAGTTAGTTTCGCATTGATAATATTAGTATAGATGGATTAGTGGTGTCAAATCTGGAATCCCACTGGTCCGCAGAGGTGGTGTGCGTGCGGCTGGCGCACTGCAGGCCGCACCAGCAGCCCATCACCGAGATGCACTCCGAAGGCGGCCGCGTGCTCACCGGCGGACAGGACCACGTGCTCAAGGTAACGACGGACAGTTGGCATTTGGCATCTAGACCAGGGATGTTATGGATATCCGTAACCGCAACCGAAACTTTCGGATATCCGAAACCGTAACCGTAACCGATTCAAAAGTTTCGGATAGTTTCGGATGTAGGCAGTTTAAATTGTTTTTTGTATAGCATTATAATATGTAAAGGCATAACAGCCTGATTTACCTTTATAATGCCATCTATAGTCTGGTCCGGGAGCACGTAGAATTTTGTCCAATGACCCCAAGCTACCCATCCTTATCGCTCGTGCGTAATTATATTGCTATCGCGACTGCGGGACGGGCGCCCGCAGTGTGTGTGCAAAACTCTACGTGCTCCCGGACCAGACTGTAGTATCAATTTTTATTTTTTTATTATTATTTATTCGATGTAAAGCGTGCGGCCATGAATGAACCGTGTTGGACAACTATTGCAAATTGCATTCTAAAGCACATATATCCGTAACCGTAACTGAAACGTTCGGATATCCGAAATAAAAAGATATCCGTAACCGGTATAATATTATTCCTATATCCGCAACCGTATCCATAACCGAAACTACAATATCTATAACATCCCTAATTTAGACCGCTTTCTGACTTGTCGGCGCGGCAGCGGATCGATATCAGGGGGCGTAGTGTGAGTTTACATCAAACGTATTCGATATCGAGTGCGTCAAAAAATCTATAAAGATTTTAGTTCTTGAAAGTATCCACTAGGGGCGCTGCACAATAAGTAACATTTAATGTAATTTTTTACGCAGTTAATATCAATACGTTTAATGTAAACGCACACTAAGCCTCACGCCAAACGCACGATCGTCATACACATTACGCATATTATTGAGTCAGTGCCGCGCGCCAATGAGGAACGCTCCTTCGAAGTAGCGCTCGGTAAACTTTCGGTGCCGCGTATGCCAAGCGTGCTGATGTCAGAAAGCGGCCTTAATCTTCACGCGACCCTCTCTAAATTACAACAAGCAAATGGATAATGGAGCTGATATAGCCCGATAGATTTGCATATCGAAGTAGAAATGGCCAGTGCATATAGCACATATACCTGACGGCGGATTGGGCTGTAATAGAAGTCACGTGCTGACACCTTCAAGCGCAGCATGGGACCGACAACCTCATAAAGGTAGCAGGAAGGCGCTGGATGCAAGCAGCTGCCAACCGACCAATTTGGGAAAGCCTATGTTGGCTAGCTGGGTTGGGAAGGCCTTAATTTCGCATATTTGCCCCTTAGTGGCGTTTTACGACAATCTAGGGAAAAAAAAATTGCTTTGTTTGAATATAAATTGATATTGTGCTGTGTACTGTCCTTAATTAATGATTGTGATCAGCTAGGTCCTTATATGAGAATACAGTCAACAGCATATCAGACTACATTTTTGTTGGGAAAATGGGTCCTATTCCAACGACCTAACTCCTAAGATGTGTTGATGTGCAGGTGTTCTCGAGCGCAGACCTGAGCGCGCTGTTCACTCTGCACGGGCACTGCGGGCCCATCACCAGCTGCTTCATCGACCGCGCCACGCCCACCGTCGCCGGCAGCGGCTCGCAGGACGGCCTGCTTTGCGTCTGGGACCTGCACACCGGTACGCAGCAGCAATATTACATTAGCAATACAGCGACAGACAGGAGTGGCTAGTGTGTGCGAGCTATGCTGCTTCATCGACCGCGCCACGCCCACCGTCGCCGGCAGCGGCTCGCAGGACGGCCTGCTTTGCGTCTGGGACCTGCACACCGGTACGCAGCAGCAATATTACATTAGCAATACAGCGACAGACAGGAGTAGCTAGACTGTGCGAGCTACGCTGCTTCATCGACCGCGCCACGCCCACCGTCGTCGGCAGCGGCTCGCAGGACGGCCTGCTTTGCGTCTGGGACCTGCACACTGGTACGCAGCACTAATATTACATCTACACTAATATTATAAAGAGGAAAACTTTGTTTGGTTGTAATGAATAGGCTCAAAAACTACTGGACCGTTTTTAAAAATCTTTCACCATTCGACAGCTACATTATCCACGAGTAACATAGGCTATATTTTATTTTGGAAAAAAATAGGGTTTCGCTTCGGGGCGAAGCCGCTTGCGGAAAGCTAGTTTGCTATACAGCGACAGACAGGAGTAGCTAGGCTATGTGCGAGCTATGCTGCTTCATCGACCGTGCCACGTCCACGTCTGGGACCTGCACACTAGTAGACACTATTATGAAATTTATTTGTCTTGACAATCTTACTTGACACTTGCTAAAGGCCTCCGATAAAACTTCCGTAGTTGTCCGTCGTTAACACAATATATTTCAGAAGCAAGCAATTACTTCATCTAAAGTCACTTTTAAAATTTTCTTCTAAGGATTTTTTATTAAATAAGAAATGTTATAATATAGCCTGACCAGGAACATAAAAACCCTGGCATAGAGGCGCTTCAATTGCATTTGATAGTGCAACACTGAGTACAGTCGTACATGTGTTAAATTAATAGGCTAAATTTATGTATCAGGATTCAGGATTACGGGTTAATTTGATATTTTCATAAATTAACGAAAAATATTATTAAAAGTAACCTGGTTTAAATAAATTAAATGAAACCATCAATCGAGCTAGTAGGATTTATTTTATTATTCATCAATAATCAAATTCAGAACTTGAATATTCAACTGCAATGTCTGCTCATGAACGCTTCAAACTCGGTACTTCTTTCCCAATTCCATCAAATTCAAAACTTAGAAAGTGACAAAAACTTTAAAATAGGTAGTTGAAACAGACTACAGCTAATTTTCATAGTGGACTGTACTATACGATAAACATGTCAGTCAATTTGACAACCTTTGTCGGAAACATTATTCAATGAAAATATTGTCCGAACCCTTAGTATTTCTCTTCGACAAATACATTAACACATCGTGAACCACTTTTCTTTCACGACTATAAAAATATTTTAGCAATTTAATTCACAAAATCAATTGCAAACATTTAAAATAAAGTTTGTTTACACTTTGACAACAATAGACTGACATGCAAGGTGACATGTCAATGAAGTTTTCAGTTACTGTTGCCATTAAAAGAAATTAGTACCATTAGTTTTCCGCAACATGGCGAGGGTTTTTATGTTCCTGGTCAGGCTATATCGTGAACCACTTTTCTTTCACGACTATAAAAATATTTTAGCAATTTAAGTCACAAAATCAATTGCAAACATTTAAAATAAAGTTTGTTTACACTTTGACAACAATAGACTGACATGCAAGGTGACATGTCAATGAAGTTTTCAGTTACTGTTGCCATTAAAAGAAATTAGTACCATTAGTTTTCCGCAACATGGCGAGGGTTTTTATGTTCCTGGTCAGGCTATACATGAGTTGAATGACTATCGCCCATATTCACAAACGATTCTTGCTTAAGTGAAACACAGCGTTGAATAGAGCTCTGTGATTGGTTCGTGTGTCACCCTGTGCGTCTACGCGCACTGTGAGACCTCAAAGTAATGTTCGTGAATACGGGCGTATTCTTAAACTAACTGATGTATCTTAAGGGGGACCCCTCATCCTCTAAAAACTGACAAATCTGGAAAAATTCATAATAATACTACTTTTCATGAATTTTCAAGAAAAAATATAACGATCCAAGGTTTTGCTAGGAAACATTGGCACTAGAGATGTTTCCAAGCAAAACCTTGGACAGACAGTCATAACGAAACTAAAGGTTTCCTTGTCAGAACTACGGAACCTGAAAAAGTAGTGTATCATAAGCATTGAAGGTGTGTTTCGTTGCAGGCGCATGCCTGTACAGTATGCAAGCTCACGACGGCGCGGTGACGTCACTGGCCTACACTGCGTCGTACGTCGTGTCTGCGGGCGCGGACGAGCGGCTCTGCATCTGGGACCGCTTCCAGGGACACATGCTGAACTCCGTGCACATCGTGAGTCGCGCTCGTAGACGTTGCCATAAAGTTAATATTCCTTCGGAATTTAGCAACAACCACTAGCTATAAAATTATCACTTCACGGGATTTATTGCAACAATATCTATTTTAACGGTAAATAATATTTACCCTCCCGACGTTTCGGCTCGGTTGCAAAAGTCATGGTCGCGGGCAGACTGAAGAGATGCGGCGTCGTCTGCTCCGGCGCGATGAGTTTTCTTCACCCACCCGCATTTGCACAATATTTTCGTCAGTGGTACAGTCAGTCCGACAAACTACACTAACAGTGTCCGGGTTTCTCTGAGACGGCCTAGAACGCGATTTGTACTTCGTTATCACCGGATTCCACGCTGATGATAGGTTAAATCCATCTTCTCGATTGAAATTCTTATGCTTTTTAATTTCAATGGCTTTACGTATCAACCTAACATGGTAATGCCTATCAGTTGAGAGGATTTTCGGGTCATGAAGTTCCATCCAGTGATTAACGTCCGAAGTTAACAAATGTTCAGCTATCGCAGATTTGCACGTCTGTTGGTTCCTTACAGCAGCTATGTGTTCTTTGACTCTTTCAGCTATAGACCGCTTAGTTTGTCCTATATAGGAACTACCACAGCTGCAATCGATCTTATAGACACCCGGCGTCTGAAGAGGTAATATATATAATATCTTTTGGCGAGCGAATTTCCCGTGAAGTGATAATTTTATAGTAAAAAATGCAACATAATAGTTTAAAACCACTAGCTGTCAAACGAAACCAATTTGGATGACACTTGCGTGTCAGTGTCAGGATTAGTTCACTTTTTTGTACCATAAATCAATCACTGAACCAGTTGCCACATTTCTGAAGCACTATTACTCATAAACATCCACGATTTCACGAATTCTGAAAATACATCAGAGTTCAAATTTTCAGGGTGCCACTACGTGACTTTGAACTGTCAAATAGTTGCAAAAAACGGTTCTGTTATCGTGACGATGATGGCATCACGCAACTCTTTATCACAGTGTTGCTGCTAGTGACATCTCGCTCGCTCAGTTCTTTTTTGCTCTATTCCACTAGTTATATTAACTTTATGGCGGGTGTATTTAATTTTGATTGTACCTATGCAAAATATCTTGCCGCTGCACGTTCCTGCTTGCAAGTTAGCGACAGCTGCCTTTGAGTTGCCGCTTGACCTTATGGTTGATTTTATGGTTTTCCTTTCATTTGATTTATAAAGTTTGTTACAGAGATATTATATCGTAACAAACGATGCAATAAAAATACAGGGTGTATTTTTTAACAGATTTTAGTCGGTTCTATTCCCGGATGTGGCAAGCAAATTTTTGGAAATCTTTGAATACCGTTCTATTTCTTTTTAAAAGTAAATGATTAATTTGAGTCAAAAGTATTGTTTCATTGTGCAAAAGTTCAAAACTCTAAGTAAAATACTCGTCCTTCGCAAGTAGAAATCCCAACAAAATTTTCTATCTGCATTACCTATTAAGAGACATTACAAAATTCCAGTCTGTATACGTGTTTGCTTGTAACGTTTACAGGGCCTCAACTACATGAGCCGCATGCTGCCGCTGACGCACACGATGCTGGTGATGGGCGACCGGAGCGGCCTCACCGCGTACGACCTCAGCAGCGGCGACGTCATCCGCAGGGTGCTCTTCGGTAAGACAAACTACACTCAACGTCAAATAAACCGCACCTTCCGCGACGCGAACTTTATAGATTTTTTTCTGACACAATCATGGTGCCCCAACAATATTGGTGTTATTTGAAGACCCAATAAATATCCTTAAAGAAAAACACATTTAATTTCTTAATAAATGATTAATCTATACCATAAATGTGACTTGAAAAAAGACCTCACTTTGAGCTCACCTCTGGGATCAATTAGACCAAATTGTATGGTTATAAAACCAAATAATAATCACACGTGTCCTCTTTAACAGATGGATAGCGATTAATCCCAACTTAACAGTTTTATAGCCATAAAAGTTGGCTCAAGCGTAACTAACAATTTTTTGAAGATGTGACTGGATCCGTATAAAGACACATTTTTGGGGTAAAAACCTTTCTTTTAATGAAATGATGTTTAGAACTAGGCTTTTAAATGGTGACAATATTGGTGGGAAGTGGGGATGCATACGTTTGAAAGTGCTTGTCGCGGGAGGTGCGATTTATTTGATGTCGAGTGTATTTGTAGAAATAGAAAATTTTTATGCGACACAAAATAAACAAAAAGAATCACAGAATTAAAAATACAGGATGTGGTTTTGTATAATCGCAGAGGTTGGTAATTACTAGACATCGGATTATATGCATTTGCATTATTGCATATGCAAACGCATATAATGCTATTTTTATAGCGTTATTGCATATTTTGGTACTTTTTCATTGACAGTGCTTATTTTAGTATTTATACGTGTTAGACGTGTTGTACTTCGCCGCCGTCCCCACACCAAACATCAACACATCGCCTTCGCACGCACTGCGAGAGCACATTGAGAGCGATCCATACCAGTGTTGCCAGAGAAATTACCAGAAATATAAAAAATGTAACCTTTTTGAATAAAAAGTAACCTTCATCCGGGGGGGGGGNTTTGTATAAAAATCCGTGTCTCGAAGAAATAAAAAAAAGTTAACGCATTTATCAACGGCACCAGTCAAATTCTGCCTGAAGAGGTCTCGGCAGAAATGGCGCCAAATTTTAAGTTCTGTCCGGTAACGTCAGTGGACGTTGAAAGGTCATTTTCAGCATATAAATTAGTTTTAAGTGACAAACGTCACAAATTTGCGCCAGAAAACCTTGAAAAATATGTTATTGTATATTGTCACAAGAATTACAACCAATAAGTACCTATATAATTAATTAATTATGTATTGTGAAAATAAAGTTAATTCTAATAATGTTTTTTTGATTGTGCATATTTTGTGCATATTTCGCCCTTTTTTAGTGCATATTTGCATGCATATTTTGGCATTTTGATAGTGCATATAATCCGATGTCTAGTAATTACATACAAGAAAAATATAAATAAAATTTTAACCTTGATTTTTTAGAATCCAGCACAAATGTAAACAAACACTTTCATTCACAATTACACCATAATCACTTACGTGTTCATAATATCATACACATCATTTCACAAGCTCATGAAACCAACTTTATTCTCACGATTATACAAGTTTGAAATTAATCATTGAAACAAATTATTTTAGCAAAATACGTGGACGATGAAAAGGACAGTGCCAGGGTCTGGACCAAGTGTTGCCCAGAATCAACCCATAGTGCATTTTGTTCCTCAGGCCTAATGTGTAAACCGAAGCGCACTGAAATCTATCCCTGGAGTTAAGAGAAAAAAAGAGTTTTGTTTCGAATTATTTACATACAAAATATCATCGATGTATACGCATAACATTTTGCGATTTTGGCATTAAATAACACTCGCTATGTTGAACTTAACCATACTGCATCCGTACACATTACTTTAGTGCGATTTAGACACTCTTTATAAACGATCTAGCGCTGTTTTAATTGTTTGGTAAGTTGTCAGAAATTCATTATTTCCAAAATGAAGCAAGAAGTCCTCTTTTTTTATTTTAACGTTCATAACACAAGTATAATTATATTCAAAAATAAATAATTTTCACTTAAACATCCGCTAAGAACGGATTTGACAAAATTCAACCCCTAAAAGGCTAAAACGGGGTCCACGCGTAAGAATTCGCGGGCGGCCGCTAGTTCTCCTAATATTTATAAACAAAAATAAATGATTTTGTCTACAGGCCAGAGCGACGGGTGCATATTTGTGCGACAGATCCTGCCTCTGAAAGATGCGATCGTGTGTGACTACGCCAACCAGCTGCGAATAGTAAGGTTCCCTTTGGTGTCCAGCCTCGCCAGCACAAAATGCGACTGAGTTACATTACATATCCGACTCAAACAGTATTGGTCGCGCAACAAATGTTGAGGTGTACACACACTCACACAGGTGCAATATTTGAATACAGAAAATATAGTCAGAATACGCAAGACTTCAGCATGTCAAGCGTATACAGATACAAAACCTTGCTTGTGTAATGATCTCAACTCTCGTTGCGCGACCTGTAACTATCATACCGTTTAGGTAACAAAAGGACGTCGCACATTTATCAACCCGGAAAGGGATCGTAACCGTATCAACTCGAGGTGGTCAGTATTCTTTCTATGAAACTCCATACTGCAACGCCCACTTATCCGCACCGTAACGTAAACGCCTCGCCTCGCGATTGACAGCGCGCGAAAGGCGATGGTGTTGATCCCTTTCCGAGTTTATAAGTCTGATATGAACTTTATACTACGCTGTAACTTACTATCCAACCAAACAAACAAAAACGAAAGACTTTCACTGTGTCTTACTAATCTTCAGAAATAATATATTGTTTGTATCGTTGACGATTACAAATTTAAATGTATTTATAGTTCCAAAAATGTATATTTATTGTTATATGAATTACCGGTCCGATGTAGTTTTTTCGATGTTGCAACTTTATATCACATTCAAATACAATGTTTTCTTTGTAGCTATGAAAGTAGCATTATCGTTATTTTAGGGATAAGTAACTTGTTTAATACGCAACACAAATATATTTTAAAATAATTAAATGGCTCTCTTAATCATTAAAGAATATTTAAAGTAACAAGTTAAAGGATCAGTTATTGTTTTATTATTTACTGTTTTGGTAAATCTAGCATATCACGTTGACAAATTAATGATGAAATAAAAAGTGTGCCTACCAAGATTTTAACCTATTTTGGATAAAATTAATTCATCAATCTAAATACGATCAGTATCTAAATATTAAGTTTAAAATTGGCGAGAGATTTTTTTTAATTTGGTAGGACTGTTATTATAATGTCAGCTTGTCGCTGACTACCATAATTAATCTTATCAGTATCTCGTATGTATTCGGATAGACCGTTATGATTCATGACTAACCTAACCATACTAGCACGACAATAATTCAAAATTAATGCATATTTTTAAACGAACAGTTTTGTATCCGTAACCATCAAAGATCAAAGCTTATCTAATTCTAGATTTATATTAATTTATTTGTTTCTATGTACGATGGGTTACCAACTGTCTAATATCCAATTTTACAATGCATCACATCAAAATAGTGACTATAATGTCAATTGAAGTGCTTCCTCAAAATTTAGTTCATCAATAGTTAGTGCATTTTCCCGAGTTCTTCCTAAACGCCGTGGTAGATTTAGTTCATATCAAACCAAAAGGGTAGTTCCCATTTGTTTTACCTTTGGGATTGGTCTACCTACCAGTTCCATCCATGCCCGTTTGACCTAAACCCAGTTTATAGCCCGTATCATGAAATGACCAAAATATGAACCAAAAATTCATAGATTTAGTCTGTTTTGTAATCCAGTTTAATTTAAATCTTGTGCTTTCTTTCATAATACGAGCCTGCAATTTTTTGTCAAATTTGTCCAACAACCACACCTTCCTATATCTACCGCTCCTTTAATAAACAATGCCGTTTATATGGCAACTTCCATAATGAATGATCCAAAAACGAAAAGAACAAAACAATTTAAAGCTATTAATACAATTTACTATGTCACCTTCCTATTCCATACAAATAAAGCATTCGTTGTTTAAAACGAATGGTTACGGTGTAGTTTATTTATTTTCTATATTATTTATTTCTGCAGAATTGCAGTTTAATAAACCTATGCTCTAGTCTAAATTTAAGTTTTTTTGTATAAAAAAATAATATAGTATACATTATATCATGACTATACTCGGTTTCGTTTAAACGGAGGCTATAATGATTGGCCTTGACTTGTCGTCCAGAACAATAGGACAAAACGTCGCCAGAACTGTAGCACTTTAATACCTACCTTATTATGATAGACTATGCTAATAAAATTAATGTAATAAGTAGGTTATAATTAATTTAATCGAGTTGTCGAAGTGTCGTAGGTTCCAGCAGTCGTGGCACCGTTTGAAGTAAGTCAAAAGTGTTGAGTGTTGAAAAAATCGAGTTGTCACAGTCGTCTAGTTGTCGCAGGAGTCGATTTGTCCCGGGGTTGAGCTGTCGTGATACCATTTTATGTTTGTCAAAAGTGATTTAATGTGTATTTTTTGAGGGTTGATTATCATTTTTTATTTTTTGACATACCTTTTTTCTGAGACAAATATCAGACTTGAGCTGTCATATAATAAAATTATAGTATTAGCATGTTTAATATAAAAGCTTGTAATTAAAGGGTAGAGTGCTACAGTTCTGGGGACAAAGCGCACACATAATGTCCCATTGATCTTTATTGAACTTCAATTCGCACAAATCTTATTAGAAGTCCTAAAAAAATACATTTAATGTAAATCTTCATCCATGCGGCAATAGACAATAGTAGAAGATCCGAATTAGCCTACACCCATCAGGTTATTTTTAGTCGCGACATATTTTTAACATGCTAAAATTGATTTAAAATACCTTTAAATGAATAAACAGATGGTTGCAGATCGCTTCTAGTTCGGTACCTCTAGTAGGAAAAACTTCTTCGCCCCTAGGGCGGCTATAATATAGGGGGCGCTGTTTAATTTTTCATACAAAATTTTTCGATGACACTTTGAATACGCAAACGAAACGAACTCGAAAGTTTTTCGTACTAGAGGTACTGATCTTAGACCATGTCGCATCGAGAATAGATCTCGATCTATAGGTACACTGCATTTTTAACAGTCATATACATCGAGATGTATGACTATTAAAGTATATGACTTAAAAATGCAGTGTGAGCTGTGGCCTTGACCCATCCAAAACCATTTATTATATACACGCGCTAGCAAAGAGCGATACTTGTATTTTACTCGGTGCAGAGACTCGTGGTAGGCGGTGTAATAATAGAACAGTGCATATCACGTTTTATCTCGCACTCACACTGGTTATGGGTGACGTCACATAGCGTTATTTATAGTACGTAATTATTAATAAAATATTGGCAAGTGTGCATCCCTGTTTCAAAAATTACTTATGGCCCCGCCTGCCATGAGTCTTTGCGTTCAGTATAGCATTGTTAGCGATACAAACATGGAGCTTGTGAAAATCGCCGATACAAGTCAATGATAAATTTTAATGACGTTAAACTTCTTTGTTATTAATTTCGGTGAATTGCGACTATAATGAAATAGAATTATTATATTCGTTTCATACAATAGATGATATTCTGAACAAAACGATTTAAATAAACGTTTTAAATTTTAAATAAACGTTGTTTAAGAAGTCACTAACACAATCAATGTAAGTAGGCTTTTACTAGTCTGAATGAAGTACTAAAACAAACAACAGTCTTTAACCGACTTCATACGAAACATGTATCAAAACAATATTATGCTCGGGAATTCGGGATTTTCATTATAAAAGACAAGTCATGGTGGCTAATATTTTATTCCTCACACAAACATAAACATTCTCATCAATTTAAACACATATAACAATAAAGATATTTCATAAGTATAAAATATCATTTAAAATACATATTAAAAATTTAAGCCTGGTTACACACTATCAAGTTTGTAAGATCACGTTGACAGACTAATGACAGTCTACAGTGTGTTAGGTAAATGGGTATATGAGCCGACACTAGCCCATGTTAACATGGTCTTATTATAAATGGTATGGAAAAGTCAGAAAATTGATATCTGCTTTTTAATTATTTTAATTTTTATATAAATCGGATTTTGTAAAATTTATTTTGTATGAAAATTAAAAATATTAAAATGATGATATCAAATTTGACTTCACCATACCATTTATATGACTATGTTAACATGGGCTAGTGTCGGCTCATATACCCATTTACCTAACATCCTGTATAATAAATTTCGACTAGTGATAACGTTAATTTTTCTTCTATATGTTACGGCTTCACCTGCACCGTGACGCGTTATTTGTCCTTATATCGTTATGCGAAATCGGAACTTGTAAGGCTTCAAAGTGCAGATAGAACTGTTAATAGCTGTAATACGCTTAAAAATTGTCTTTTGTATTTCTTACAAGGCACAAATAACTGTAATGCACTTGTGGTTGATTCAGAAGCTGCACAGTAAATATGAATCTTGGTAAAGGAAGTAGAGTAAATATTAAATTGCGAGAGAAATGCATAGTGTTCAACGAAGTCTTAATTTTTGCAGATTTTAATGGGGTTAGAGGCAATTGACACTGAAACAAAAATACCGTTTCTTTATTTTCCTGTCCTCCTATTCGAATTCCAAGTCGGACAGTGCTGCGTGATCAAGGTTGAATGGAACAAATTGCGTCAAACCCTATACCAATTTAAGAAAACAGATAATATTTTAGCAGTTCGCTATGTAACTATAAATACTATCGTTTATGTAAAGTTTAGTCATCTAATTATTTACCAGAAACGCTTTGTGTACAAGATAACTGAAATAATAATAAAAACATTCAACAAATCTTAAATTGCATAAAAATAGTAAACAAACGATGTTTTAATGTTATGCTTATGTTATTATTACTATACTATTTCATGGACTGTTGTGTACTTTGGTTAAGTACGTTTAATATGATGTACAAGTACTGTACTTCAAGTAACACCCTTTCAGAAGATAATTCGTCTCGTCTCGAGTGAACTCTAAACTTTAGGACAAGAGAACTGAACGGAACCGTACTTAAAATGGCACTTTTAACAGACCTTAAGTAACTAATGAAATTGTTAGTATTAAAGGAAAATAATATTGTTTCCACATGGTTCCTTTCAGTCTATGAACATAGTGTGTGCGCCTATTTTAATACTTTAGAATTTCTCAATTCCATCCGAAAATTAAACGTAACCTGTACTGTATCAAGTCGTTTTTATTTTGAATTGATACACTGATATTTGAATTTACAGTAATTTACGATTTCTTATGGCAATTGCGCGTTTTGACGATTCTTCTAACGGTTCAAATGTCTGTGCGTGCACTAGGGTGGAGCGAAAATTTTTTTTTCAGATATCTGTAATGTAATAGTCAAAATTTTGTGCCTTTAGGGCTTAAATGAAGTCATGCAAAATATTAATCAATTCGGTTTAGAGTAACTGCCTCCGCATCGACACTGAATTTATAAAAAAAGTTGGTTTTAGACCTCACTTAGGCGCCACATATCTGTGCAATATTTAAATAAAAATACTATTTTTTTATCACAAATCGTTTACTGATATGCTATATTTTCAATGTAAAATACACAAAAACGCCAGGCTTTGGGTTTATAATTTTAATAAGGGCGTGAGAGAGCGCGAGAAGAGAATTTTTCTGGCCCTTTTCGCGACTCGCGTCTTTGTTAGATAGTCTACTGGAAAAGCTGTGAGAAACTGCCTATCTATAAATTTGAACAAATTGAAGGACAAATGTGATCAGAAATGGCCAATTATCTGAGTACTGATCAGCAGAACTTGCATTAAATTGCTTCGGCGGTAATTAGGCGTATTCTCACAAAATCTCGCAATAATTTCTCCTGGTGAATTGTAACATGCCCGTTAGATCACACGAGCGTACCGAATACTACGTTTGTATTGTAGAAACTTAAAATCCAATAGAAATTTTGATACCTCTGGCTACTATTGTGGTTAAAGTCTATGCTTCTTCCTGGTTTTTGATTAAGACAAAACCATCATGCAAAGATGGCACCCGTCATCTGTTTAAAATTATTATGGCCTCGAGAGGCCTGCCAGATACCCTATGAAAGATTAAAGAACTAGTTACCCGGAGAAAAAGCTATTACGAGTATCCTGATAGCAGTCTTCTTACGATGTCAGAGAGCTGGCCGCTCGTCGCATACTAAAGTCACACAGTACGAGTCACCCTTCAATACCTAGATTTTTTTAAGTACTAGTGATACACTTTAATGCTATTTTATATATTTATTTAATTTACTTAACCAAACAGCCGCTTTTGAGATATTTATTTGACTAAGAAATTCAGCACATTGTCAAATCTGGTGGTGAGAGCAAACCTTTGTTTTAAGGCTTCTCTACCTCACTCAAGCTGTTGAGGGACCTGTGAAGATTACGATCAAAGATTCTATTTCTCACTGCATCCAGAAAGTCACTAATAAGGTGCAATAAAAGTCAAGTTGGAATCGCGAAACGTGATGCCTAAATTTTGATCAAAAAAGGATTTTCAAGCATAATAATTAAAGTAATTTATCTAATTCTTGTACGTATTTCTTGTTATATTACCTTAGTAAATATCTAATCTATAAATTATCTGTCATTTAATACCTTCTTACTAATAAATAGAGCGCAATATTTCACCTTAGACGACTTTCAACTTTAAATAAAATTTTAAAATTTTGAAGTCACTGCGGAGGCAGAAGATATTCATTAAATGGGATAAAAAATTACAGTTATTTATACTTTCATATAAAGCACAAATCCCCCCCTATTAGAACTTCGAAACTAAAAAAAATTTTTTTCCCATACAACCGTGCTCCACCCTAGCGTGCACTAACTCAAAGTAAAGTGCTGGTTAGGATTACCAATTCAATTTGACGAGCTGTCATATTTGTCCCCATTTGTATTTATAAATGTCCATCTTACAACTACATTAACAAGCTGTACCTAAAAATATTAATAAATTACTTTATTAATCATTGGAAGTTATCCATACCAGTGAAACCTGTGATGCCCCTCACTTGCCCAAACGACTTTGGGACCACTTTCCGTAGACCTCGTCGTCCCAATCAAAGTATTCGGGCGAAGGTGTTGCCGTAACATTGTTTTCAGTTCATACAAAATTGTTAGTCTACTATTATTTTTCACAACCTATCATATATTTTCAAAATGTCAATTCTCTTGCACACTTATTGCTAACGTCAACCAACGAAGACATGTTCAAGCTTGCCTGGAAAGTGCAAGCCACTCTTTCCGGTCCCGACTTGGTTATTCATCTAAACATAAGGCATTTTATGGTACATCTTGAAAGGGCTGCAATAATTCTCTTCTAGTATTACTTGCATTCAAACATTTTAGCGAAAATATACCTTCTTACAATTTTATTCGGAAGAACTCAAATTGATTAAAAATATACTCGGCAACTTAATTAAATAAGTCTATACTTCCAAGTCTGGCCTGGAATTTACATATCCGATTACATTCAAATTTCAATTATAACTTACCACAATTTGTGTAATTAAAAATGAGAGTAAAGTGTGAAAGGTTGTGATTGAAAATATTTCTAAGTGTGTAACAGAAAACTAATTTTTTTTTCGTTTATTCCCGATGTCCCCCACTAATTGTCCACCACTGGTGGACATCGAGAAAAAAAGTTGCAATGTCCACCAGTGGGGGACAGCGCTACTGAAATCTTCCCGTTGGGCCCTACTGGTGGACACTGAGAAGAAATGAGTTGCTCTGTCCCTCAGTGGTGGACATCGAAAGCAAAAAAGTTCCGTTGTCCCCCACTATTTGTTTTGTGTTCATGAATACAAACATTTTAAGTAAATCTTATACTAATAATTATAATACATACATTTTAAAAGTATCTTTATTATAGTTTAAAACAATCCTTAATTTATACTGACGCCCCTAGGAAGTGTGCGTTAATCGGAACGGTTTTGTCGTTTTTAATTTTCCAAGTACCCACAATGTTCATGTTATCAGAAATTATTGTGTCGGTAATGTTACTATTTTGCACTTATTATCTGTAATAATGTCGGAAATTGCAGGATCTAGTTCACGACAAATTGAAAAAGTTTACATAAATAGGAAAGGTGGGATGTTAAAAAACTGAGAATTATATTTGGTACGAATTTAAAAAAAAATATTTTTTAATAATCACTAAAACAAAACAAATAGTGGGGGACAACGGAACTTTTTTGGTTTCGATGTCCACCACTGAGGGACAGAGTAACTCATTTCTTCTCAGTGTCCACCAGTAGGGCCCAACGGGAAGATTTCAGTAGCGCTGTCCCCCACTGGTGGACATTGCAACTTTTTTTCTCGATGTCCACCAGTGGTGGACAAATAGTGGGGGACATCGGGAATAAACGATTTTTTTCTAGGTGTTTGCTCTAATTATATCACATAAGGGAATATGAAAAAAATCGACATAATTATGTGTAATTTATTGTTGTTGCCCATGTTTAATTAATCCTTAGGTACCTACGAACCAAAACTACTTGGTGTTGTGCTATTTGTAATGTCTAATTTATTACTTGTTCATTCCTATTGACCGCATACCTATATCAATGTAAATATGAGTATTTTTAATAATAAATAAATGTTTTGTTCATATAAAATGATTTGTTTTTATTTCTTCACTATTGCGCCAAAGAATATAGGTACATATCCTTAAAAGAAGCGATTTCATTATTGTTCTAGTCTGTGCAGTTGGGCCTGATTTAATCTAGAGTTTTCTAGAATGCAGAGAAGTAGCTTAGGAATTGCGGCTTATTTCAAAATTCATCTCCAGAACTTTTTGTTCAAAAGTCGAAAAATTAAGATTATCGACAAAAGTTTAGACGTGG